TCCGACGCAGGGCTCTAGAGGAGGAGGAAGCTCGACGCAGGGCTCTAGAGGAGGCACAGCGTAAGGTTCTAGAGGAGGAGGAAGCCGACGCAGGGCTCTAGAGGCACAGCGTAAGGTTCTAGAGGAGGAGGAAGCCCGACGCAGGGCTCTAGAGGAGGAGGAGTCCCAACGCAAGGCTCTAGAGGAGGCTCAACGTAAGGTTCTACAGGAGGAGGAAGCTCGACGCAGGGCTCTAGAGGAGTCACAACGCAACGCTTTAGAGGATGAAGTCCAGCGACAGTTATTCACAAAGGTTGAACTGAAACAAAACTCAGCGATTACACACCAGCGTTTCTGTGTACATATTATTGATACTTGCAACGTGTATTTAGAAAAATTTCTTTCTGAAGCAGCCGCTGTTGCGCTTGCAGATGGTTATCTCTTCCGAGTTAAATCAATAGAATGTTCCCCTCTAGTGCATGATGAAGCATTTAACCATGAAACCATAGAAAGAATCTTAGATGAGGAAACTGAAAAGTCGAGATCCAACAGCATGGCTGTTATGAAGGAAATTAATACAAGAGAAAACAATGAATCCAGTAGGACTCTCAGCACGGAGGTTGATAAGATCAACGATCATGGAATTACTTCGGCGTCTCTTCCTTCTTTAGATGTGGAGAGGACTACAGATGTATGGGGGGATTCCGCGCATATAGCGTTACTATCTACTTCACACGAGGCCATGGCTACAGTTTCAACACCTCCGATAGTTCAACTATCAGAAGGACCTGAGACTAGCAAATCAAGTATGCATTTTTCGTTTGTTATTGTGAAGAGTAGTCTGGTATCAGAGTGGGGTAAGGGCGACCACCTTGAGACACTGCGTTGCTTTAGCGAGGAGACAGTGACTTCGTGTATCGCTCATGCAGCTGTGCACTTCATTCAAACGGAAGCATTGCAAAGGGATTTAGATAGACCAGAAATAGTAGAAATAGATGAACTCGAACTGAGACAAGCTGAGGAAATTCATGTAGAGCGGCAGACAGATAAAAGCGCAGCTGAGGCCGTTTACTGTTTCAAGGAAGCACACGGGGCAGTAAAGCTTTTTTCTCAGCTGGAAGGTGCGGGCCAACATGGGATCATGAAGTATGAAGACGAAGAAAGACGAATGCTGCTTTATGAGAAGCGCGAAGAGACTCCGAGTGCCTCTGATGAGGTCACAACTAAACGATGTGTTGAGCAGACTAGAATAGAGGAAAACCTCACAGTTGAGGTCAGGAACGAGACGGAAATATGGCAGACAGGCATGCCTAAGTATGGCTTGATGATGCAGGCCATGATTGAACCTCTTGTGCATGAGTTGTTAAATGACTGTATATTAGAAGCAACTGCAAAGCTTAACTGCTATGAAAGATTAGATACTGAGAGCGAGTCTCGAGGTTCTGGTAGTAAGTTTGATGCCCGGAAAGAGCCCGAAGAGCAGAGTACGAGAGCAGACACCGTCACAACGGATCATAAGGTCGTTAACTCCAACTCACAGTTAGTTTCTTTGGCATCGGATCCTCGACTTTTCCCCAATGAGGAGGATGGTGATGCCTGGTCGGTAGCGCCGTCCTCATCTCACGTCGATGATGGTGCGATGGGCCATACAAAGGGCACGTTGAGAGAGGATAGGACTACCGATGAAGAGCATGGTGAAGCACTTAGTGGCGACACTGAGCTTTCGTACTGTGAGAACCGCAGCGACATTATGAAGAATTATATTACCAGCGCTCCTGACCTAGCATTAGATACCCATCTTGTGATTGGGACACACGCAGAAAGAAAAGCACTGGATTCCCTAGAATTTAGTGGGATGCCGAGTGCCACGTCCATAGTTCTACATGCCTGTGACAATATCTTTGCCAGTTTTCTTCAGGATGGGGCAACACAAGCCATGTCAACCGAGCTCTCAAATATGAGTCAGTTGGAGCGCATAAATGAAGTTGACAAATCAATTCAATCAACTGTTTATTCAGTAAAGGAGGGTGGTTCAATAGATTCAACACCAATATCGCTATCTATGCAAACAATTTTAAGAATTGAGGACAATGACAACACACCACTACAGCGTCCAGGTGAAGCGAGGGGTGAAGTGAGCCTTCCCATGAAGGGTCAAGTGGCGGGAGTCACTGTAACGCCCATAGCACTGAGATTCTTCTCGGACCACCTTCTAGACGAGTATCTGGCTTTGGCCTTTCACAATTTCATATCTGTGGGCGAAGCCAAGTCCTCTGTAGAGCCTCATGATCTCATCACTCGCCGCATATTCCCATCTTCTCTATCCCCTGCAACAGCTGGGGTTCCTGCGGTTGCATCGAAAAGTGACTTTTACTGTCGACTTGACGATTCAGCGGCTGTACGTGCGGTGGTGACTTATCTTGTGGGTGATGCGCTCCAGTTTGTGAAGGATCTCGAGGCATCATATTCGCTATACTCTACATGTGAGTTTAACCGCGACGCTGACACAGTGAATTGTAGCAAAACCACAACTGAAACCCCTGCGTCAACCATCTTAGAGCATCTGAGATGTGATCAGGTGCAGCGTATTATGAAAAAAGGAATAACCCTTGCCCTGCAAGACGTCATCCACGCCTCGGGCTCTTCGGCTTTGGGTGGCTTAAGGCTCCTTGAGTCTGCGAAGGGGAATGGAGATGGTCCAAGCGATCAAGGTGAAATCAATGTCAGGGAGGGGGCCGAGCTCTACTTGATTTCTCACCCATTGCCACCCGATTGGGATGCCGCGGCCGACGTCGTCACGGAGCGCCTTGCGCGTGATTTGATTCGGAGTGCTGGAATGATGGTCTTGAAGGGCCGTGCCTATAACATGCTGTACTCTGACCGTTTTACTACTGAGTATACCACAGACTTAGATTGCTTTAGAGCTGTGAGGTTACACGAAGTATTTTCGCCATCTCATCTTTCCACGCGTGATGTGGAGCTACTCTTCTTTTTCTACGTTGAGCAAGCCCGGGCGCTGGGGGTCGGCGGGTCCAATCCAACACAGCTAGGTGAAGTCCAGGATGCGAGTGGCGCCACACTCGACAGCAAGTTTGAGGCTGAAGAAGAAGATGCAACAGTCAATAAAGCCAACAGAGATTCCTCGCCGCCTATATCTGCACTTGCAGCCCATGGATCGTTAGGTGCTCCCATTTTGATACCAGGAAGTGGCGTCAACGACGGTGTGGCCGCCACAGCAGTGGAGGCAGCGCTCGCACAGACTGATGCAAAGCACGGTCTGGATGCAAGAGGGCAGCTCCCCCCATCCGCGCTACCGAGTGAACGCATAAATTTATTCACTCGATTCAATTATGAGAGTGGTTCAAGTAGGGAGGACACTAGTAATCGTTTAAGGGGCCCACGTGTCAATGTTCATGAAAACACAAGTAATCGTAGCGAATCAGGCGGTAGAGAGGATTACCAAGCATATATTAATGTCTCGTTTATGGATGCTCAGCGTTCGGGCGTATCGCAGTTAGTCTTAGGGCATTGCTTGGAGAACATCATGGATGATATGGTGATGGACACCGTGACATGGATATTTAAGCTGATTAGCTAAATACTTCGTTTTCTCAATTCAATAAAAAAACGAAGATGATAGCATAGTATAAGTGATGAAACTTATTTGGAAACACGGCGCAAAATTTATTGGAAGGGCAATGCACACAACCGGTAAAGGTAGCGTCCGGATTAGTCTTTAAATTTATTCCTAAAAAAGTTTCCATTGGTAAATTTAAACCAATAGGAAAAGTTGGATATTGAGTGAGCATAATCTATAGACAAACATAAGCATTTGTACGTTCGTTTCTTCTTGAGGTGATCGTATTGTAGGAAAAAATATTGAAATATATAGAAAACTTAATCCAATCTAAAATCCTGTGAGGTTAACCCTCCTATGTGCAAAACATTTGCGGTGTACTAAAATAGAGATTATCATTGTGTGTAGTAGTGATCATGCAGAAAAGCTGTCTGGGTCGAAAGGGTAAAAAACTAAGGAGAGTAGAAAAAGTGAGAGTGTCTTTGGTCAACCCCCTTTTTGCTTCACATGTCATAATGTTTGATATTTTTCGATTCTTTTCTGTGCATGGCAACACGTTTCAGAAATATATAAAAGCAAGAGAATATATCATACACATCCATGACAGATCCTTTTACTTTCCTTATAGAAAATCTTCACAAACATGTCAAGGTCTGTACTGTCAATGGTGATGTCATCGACGGCGAATTGATCTGCGTAGATGATTTTAATAACATTTTAATTCAGCATTGGCAGTGTGCGCAACCAGATGACGCGAGTAATACTATCCGTAACAATAACCGTGACGAAATTCTTAAACATTCTGATGGCATTCACATCGGTACGGTCTCTGGATCTTTTTCGATAAGGTTTGTACGGGGTGAGCAAATCAAGCATATAGCCCTCAATGTAACTTAGCTGTTTACATAGTCAGGTGACTGAATTGTGCGCTGAGGTGAAAGCGACTTTTAGCAAGCGTAAGGACCTCGTGTTTTTGCTTTCCTTTCGATCACCAGGTTCACATAAAAGTGTATTTGCGAAAAAGGAAAAGCTGCAGTTTATTAAAAGTGGATGTGATATATCTTTTTGAGTCGTTTGCTTTTGTCGACTGAAGATTTCAAACGGCTTATATTCTAACTTCACGCTTAGACATTATTATTATTATCTATGAGCATGTGCTGGAGGAATCTTCTGGTACCTTGGTTGCGTCGATAAACAAGTGTATATGTGTTTCGTTCATATGGTTGCCTTGTTCCACATTAAGTTACTACCATCGTAGGCAATAGTGTAAGTTTATTTAAGCACCTGCTTTTTGGAAGTTGCTCACAGCTTTCTTCCTTACCTTTCCGAATAAAAATATTATCCGTTGCTGAGTCATTGACGAAAAGGTTAAACTATTATGTTCATCATTAATAACATAACAATTCAAGTAGTTATTTTTGTTTTTTGTTTATTACTTATCAATGCCCCTTCAACTCATTTTTAGAACGACCAAATCATTATTTGCTTGATCACAGACAAACCATATTGAAACCAGATAGCTAGCAACAAATCAAGCAACATCAAAAAATCGATGCAGCGCGCAGGCAAAAGTTCTGGTGATACCCTTTCCATGTGCGCTCAGCATGACCCCAATCACCTTCCACAACCAGGATTTTTATGTCAAGCCTCTCCAACGCAGGTAGGTGCTTCCGTCCCCTTGCCGAAGGGTCTTCAGCGATATGTTCGGCGTGCAAAAGTAGGCGAGGGAAGCTACGGTAAGGTCTACAAATGCGAAGACTTAGTTGAGAAAAAGTATGTTGCGATTAAGGTCATTTCATGGAGCTCGAAGGATGAGGGTGTTCCTGCATCTGCGATTCGCGAGGTATCTCTGCTGCTCGAGCTGCGCCACCCTAACGTCGTCCAACTCCTCGATATCCTGTCGGAGGACTCCAAGCTGCTGCTCGTGTTTGAGTACCTCGACAAGGATCTCAAAAGCATGCTGGACCAGCGGGCAACGCCGTTGATGGGGCCGAAGCTGAAGGACATCATGTATCAGCTGTTGTCAGGCCTACACGCCTGCCACAGCCGTCGAATCGTCCACCGTGACATCAAACTCAACAACATTTTAGTTAGCAAAGACGAGAAGATCGTGAAGGTGGCCGATTTGGGTCTTGGACGGCCGTTCTCCATGCCCTTACAGACTTACACCCACGACGTTATGACACTGCTGTACCGTGCGCCCGAGATACTGCTTGGCGAGGCGCACTACTTGCCCGCAGTGGACATGTGGTCAATGGGGTGTGTTCTTGGTGAGTTAGCGCTAGGAAGACCCCTTTTTATGGGGGAAAACGAGTTCACTCAGCTTATTAGAATATTTGAAATCATGGGGACGCCAAATGAGGAGCTCTGGCCTGGAGTTTCGCTGTTATCAAATTACAATTCGCAATTTCCCAAGTGGGGGCCGCAGTCGTTGGCATCACTGATTCCTGTACTCGAACCGGAGGGGATTGATATTTTAGCTGCAATGCTACGGTACAAACCAGAGTCACGCATTACAGCCGAGGTAGCGTTACAGCACCCATGGTTTGATGAGGTTCGAGATGAATGTGAGGAGCGGTTGCAATGCCAAATGAACCTTTTGTATGCTCGGCGAGATACAGATGTGCAGCCGTGGCGTTAATTACTTTCATATATAATATATGTGTTCATAGATTATTCTGTTGATTCAGGGTAAGACTAAGCTTGAAAAGATTCAGGGGGTGCATCAACAGGTATTTTGCCTTTTTTCACCAATTATACATGGATATATAATGCTGTGTTGATAGCATAAGCACAGAATATTTTCATTTTTAGTCCTTCCCCTTGAGGAGGTTGGGATTATGTTTCCGACACAGGGATTGTCTCTCTTCTTATATGTGCGACGAGTGTGTAATTAGCTCAGTTCAGCATTTATTCATTCATTTTTTCTATTTCGTTGCCTAAATTTGGTCATAGTTTGACAAGTTTCCTTTGAATCGTGTAGAGGGCGAATCTACATGTTTATTGTTTTTCTCTTGCTTTCATAATAGTAATTTTTCATTTTTTTCACATAGCTTTTATCTTAGGGGCAAGCTTGCCATAGCCACAAAACTGTGTTTTTTTCCACCAATCTAGAACAATACCTTATAAAAGGAGAATATAGAATACAGAAAACCAACGGAAAGCCAAGAGAAGTGTGTTTTTATAAGGACCAGAAGAAGTATTTGCACTTTTTTCGTTTACTTATACAGATTTCTCTTGTCTAAGGTGTTTATCTTTTCTTGATTGTCATCAATAGTTTCAAAAGACAACACAGGGTCCAAAACACAGTACTAACCAAAGCTAGGGAAAAGTCTAAGAAATATATATATGTAGTTTGCCTTTAGTATTAACTTAGAAAAAGGGCTTTCTTTTAATACTTAGCTACTCGTAGTCATTGCATATATATATATATATATATATATATATATAATGCCACTGACTGCGTCATGTGATGGTGTTTATTTTACAAATCCGCCCAAAGATAATTTAATCACATTGACGTGGGAAAATGATGCAACGACTCCCTTTATACCTTATTCATTCGTCATTTTCAAGGTAAAATGCACGACACCGCACATGTTTCATATTCATCCATGTTTTGGGGCCATTCTTTTGTCTGAATCGTCTGACACCAGCTCTACTAACACTTTGAACAACGGAATCAGTAAACAACAGGGAGTTAACATAGTGATTGGTCTTCAAGATAGTTATTTACCTCATGGGCATAACGTATATGGTGATGAAGCTGTCTCACGGCAGACAGCCTCCCTTTCAAGCACCAAAAAGAGATTACAAGAGCATTTTGTTATAGAGTCTCTGATAGTAACTCAGGATATGATGGCATTTCAGCAATCCGTTGACTCCTTGCATGATACTATCAGGCTTTCACATACTGTGAAACGATTATGGTCTTTGATTTCGTCCAATGAAATCCCTCGTTCACATACCAGGCCGTGCAACGCGATAAATTTGAAAGTGTACATGAAAAATGTTGTCATGCATGATGCTGGCTTTATAAAGCCCGGCGGTGATGTTACGAAGGCGGTAGTGGTACCTAAATCAGCTGTTCTGATTCCACCTTCACTAACATGGCAGGCGAAGAGTCAAACTTCACCGTCTTCATCAAATAATTATTCTACCGTTTTGGTAAATCACTCAGAGGGTATGCAAGGGGCAAATATATCCTCACACACACCCATGAAAGATGAGCTTCGGGCGCTCAAGAATGAAATAGCCCTTCTTCGCAAAATTAAGGCGCACGATGCTTCCTTGAGCACTAGTAATGTCAAGAGGGGCAGTTCTACTGATGGGAAAAACACTTCAGCACCGAATGGATTCGGTAACCTCAATTCATCTTCGACTGAGGCTTTTCCTCAGTTTAGCAATATCATCGGTAGTAAAGGCAAAATACATAGCGACAAAGAAAACATCAACACCCTGACGTCAACATCCCTCCCGGTTGATGACGAGCAAAATGGAACGACCGGACACCGTGGCTTGAAGCTTTATATTCTTTTAGGGGTGATGTTTTTTGTCTATTTTTTAGGTCTGTTCATGCAACGCAGTCGAGTTGGGATCTAACTCTACGTATTGGGGGCTTGTTAAACGAATCAAAATTCAAGGGCATTAATCAGGATCGTTGGATCTTTGGTTACGCAGGAATATGCCACAATCGTCACCGGTATCACACCGATGGTAAGCTAAGCTCTCCAATTCGTCTGGCTTCGAGTGCTAGTAAAAATAAGAGAGACATGTTGCCATAAAAGAAATAGTTTGTGCGTTTTATTTAGGATTGCTGCTTATTGGGTGATCTGTCCTCAGCAATATTTTTGGAAGAGTTATTTCCTAAAGTTTGCTTCACAAATTCATCTGTCTGGAGGAATATTTGCTTTTCATTTTCGTCCTCAAGCAAAAGAAAGCTGAAATAGATCACCGTTTCTTCTCATTATGCTCTGCTTCTCCATGGTGTTAGTTAGTATACTGTGACTCATTTTTCAATGTTTTGATTTGTCTTTACTATGTCTTGTAAATTCAAAATGATTCTACCTCTTACCGGTTCTGTATGATGTTAGAAGGTGGTACGGTCAGGCTTCACATAACAAACAAACACATATCTCACAAATGGAAAATGCCATTTGCTTAATTTTATTGCGGGCTAAGTTATTATACTTCATGTATTGCTTTCTATTTGTCAGAGTTCTGTCTTGAACCGAATAGGTAGTTTTTAATATATGTTTCTTTTTGTCATATCATTAATCCAAAAGTTTAGCTCAGTCTTAATATTGTGGCTGTGAGTTTAGGAGCTGATATCCGAAGTGAAAAGTGGATCCGATAAAGATGCAAGCTGGTAAATATATAAATGAGGTACCCTTTTTTTACGCATTTCCAAGTTAAGGAAAGCCGATAATACGAAAATGATATCTATTTTAATGCATTCTCTGTTACTTTTTATTTCAGGTTAGTCGTTTCCCAATACTAGGACATCGGGGACTCGTTCAAAATAAATAGGTCAAACCCATTTTGGGACTACTTGTCAATTATATTTTAAACGTTTTAGTGTTCACGGCCAAGGGCCATTCACATTGGATTCAATTCGATTTGTCACTTTTTCCTTTCTGGTAATTTCATGACTATATCAAACGAGCAACAAAATTAGTACGAAGGTATCGCACATTAATTCTCCGATGTCTTCTCGTGGTCTTGCCAGCCATGAAATCAAAACAAAGGTCAGGTCGAACCTAGGCGCGCCCTACGCCCGGCGCTTTTTCAACAGTCTATGGACTTACCGTGTCAGTCAGCTCACTACCTCTAACATGCAGCAACTACGAGATACTGGCATTGCGATGACTCTTGATCACAACAATTCTTCTTCCACCGGATCCGAGTCCCCGGCAGCCGTCCCCATCAAAAGCGATTTGCATCCACATGCATTACACAAATTCGTAGGCGACAAGGATTGGTCGATCGTTATTGCCGTTCCGAAGAGCTCCGACCACTGCCGAAACGTTGTAAGCTGCCCCAAGGCCTCCTTGATGGTAGGTCACACCGATCCTCAGTTATTTCATTGGTTCAAACAGCTCGGTACAATACCACCCCGTGCGGTTATCTCTGGCGGTGTTGAAATCCTTTCTGGCGATCTTCGTGATGACTGCTGGGAGAGGACTTTCATTCGTCACCCTGTCATTCACTCCATTGCGCAAGATATGTGGGAGAAGCAGGAAAGCAAGACAGAAGAAGAGATGGTAAGCATCGCACAGCGTGAGCGCGAAGAGGATGAAAAGCGTATGCGACGTATGAGCAGCAGCGACTGGCGAACTAAGTTCAAAGACCGTGAGCGCAACCCCACCGCTAGTGAGGATGAAGAGAAACCAATTTACGTCATCAAGCCCGAGACTTTTAGTTTGCTGCGTATGAAGCCAGAGGTGAAACTGTGGATGAATGTTTCGGGGCAGGCTCAGCGTGTCTGGGAGCCTGTAATACCCGACGCAGATTCGCTATGCCGTTGCTCTCATCGCTTTATTCGTATGCTGAATCTTGCACGGCAAAAGCTGGTCCCCTCGCTGAATATGAACTTTTCCTTAAAACTCACCAATGCGTTTATATTCGAAATCGACGAAAAAGGACTGTGGGCACTTGGCACGCAGGAGAACTTTTCTGGGAAAAACGGAATAGTTCGGGAAGAATGGAGTGAACTGAGACTGGAGTTTGGCAAAAATCAGCTCATTAAAACCGAGCAAGAGATGGAATGGTGGATACGGGGGTTAACAAAACTTGGTGACCCAGAAATCTCGCAAACGGATAACAGCGTAGAAGACGCTTCGATGAATCCAGAAGAATTTGATTATCGTCATATTTAGGAACTATGAAGAATGATAAACAAGGGGAGAGCACAAAGTTAAGGTTTATTGCTTTACATTTTAACTCTTCAGTGATACCTTTGTGATTATCTGACTACATGCGATATGACGATTCTCTAGTGTCCTTCTACTATTGCGCTGTACGGTGGCCCTCGTAACTCCCTCTCTATTTCTCTTTCCTTTTCACTAAGTTGCACAGAATTAGTGTAGATTCTTATTTGCTTAGTGCTTTTCTCTACCTTTTTTCCGCTCAAAGATCAAGACGTGTTGCTTTTGACTCGTTAATCCTGCTTCCTTCGCATTACAGCTCCTAGTTACGCAGTCTAGTGCACCTAGATCGGCAGCAATTTCCAACCAACCCATTAGGGCGGAATTATTGGCACTTCCCAGTAATATTTTTCGATCCCCTTATCAGAAGTGTGTAGGATACAGCATTCCGAATACGTGGCTACAGACGTCTATTTTTTTCTCTTATAAAATAAGGAATCTGGTTATATATAGAATTCAGTCACAGATTCCAGTCAGACAATGTCGAATTCAGTGAGTCAAACCCCGAACTCGAAGTGGTATCCTCAGCCATCCCCCACATGGAATTCAGCCGCCGGCCGTAGTGGGGTAAACCAAGCCCAAAATTGGAATCCCAGTTTAAGCGTTAACTCGAACCCTGCGTACAGCGGTGCAGGCCAAGTTCCTGATGCGATGAACCGGAGGACTTATTCGGCGAGCAGCGCTATCACGACTCCGCATGGTGGGTATTCGTGGTCAGGCGCCTATCCAACACCACTTCCAGGAGTGAACCAGGGCATGCCGCCGAACTATGACAAGATGCCGCGGGGGGTGCCTGGGGGCCCGATGAGATATCCACCACCACAGCAACGGCTTTGCGATGATACGGGGTGCACTGGAGCTCCACCTGCACCCTTAGATCCCTACATATGCACCTCAATTGATGCAGGTAATCCATCATGTTGTGAATCTATGGAGGTATGCTGCGACTGGACTTTTGGATTCATGTTGATCTTTTTTTTACTCACTGCCGTAGGAGTAGGCTTGATATTTGGCATCAGTGAGAATGATAATCTCTTTCATAAGTTTAACGCCATCGATGGCAACGACCTTAACACCAAAATGACCCCTTATATCAAATGGAAGAATCTGATTGGAGACCAAACTTTGGTAAATGATGAACCCTGTACCCGCCGCAGACTCCCAGGTTCGAATGGCAGCATTTGCATGGAGGACAACCTCAACGCGAATGTGCTGGTCACACAGCTGAGCCAGTGGAATAATGCTCGGAATTCGCTATGGTGTTTGGCTTTGATCTACACATTTATCGCGGTTGTGTACGCATTATTTATACATTGTCAAAGGCAAGCCGTTGCGCCCACAGGGCTGGAGGTCCTTGAGGGCCTTCCACCACTTAGTCCAGAAAAACACGCGGAGCTGCTTCAAATGACACCTCCTCAACAACAAAATTTTATCAGAGAATACCAAAGATTTATTACGGAAAGCTCAAATATTCCCCCAGTGCCTCAGGGGAATTTCCGTCAGGATAGAAGGTCGCACTGTTGCTATAGTTCCAAAATTGAGGTTTACGACACTCCTTTCTATGAGTTTATGCGTATAGCTTGGCTCTTCATCGGCTTTACGGTGTTAGCGTGGACAGTGAATCTCCTCATTTCTTTATGGTCCTTTTTACCTTTCTACACTGACGAAACGACAGGGCCATTACACGATTTCTGGGTTAGGTATCAACTAAGGTTCACGTCAACCCTTATTGTGATCGCCGTGTACCTTGCCTGGCCCTTTTTCAACTTCTTCGTTGAGTTTGTCTTCTTTTTTATCTTTCTAATCCCCTGGTTGATGATTCGCGCGGTTTGCTTTCCACAAATTGGCAACTATCGCCCCTCGTTGCCTCTTTCCAAGCTCCCTGGTTGGATTCGAATCGACATGTTCTTTATGGATATGCAGAATGTCCGCCGGCTCGGCTTCTCCCGGCAGGCTTGGGTCCTTCTCACCGGGAGCGAGCAGCCCTTCTGCGGCCATGAGGACCCCGAGGTGGATCGCGATCCGAACCTGACCAACCTGCGGCGGTGGCGCGACCAATGGCGTGCGAGCATGTACGGCGCGCCGCTGCCGTGGGGGGGGCCCGTCCCGATATCCGTCTCCCAGACGAGTGACCCTCCTGGCCTCGCCCACCCGGGCGTCCCCCCGCCCGGGAGCATCCAGGATGCCCACACCGCCAACAGCAGCCTCCCCAACGTCTACGGGCCGCATTCCCCCCCGCGCCTGTCGTCGGGGAGGGAGGGGAA